CAGGAGACAGTGGTGTAGGAGACAGTGGAGTAAGAGACACCGGGGCAGGTGATTTTGGGGCAGCTGAAGGTGGTGCAGTGGATGCTGGAGTAGATGATATTGGGGTTGGTAACGCTGGGGTGAGATCAACCAAAGGTGTGTCAGCTTGCCCAGAAACATCTGAATCTTCAGGTTCTGGCTCTATACAAACTGCTTTAACAGACTCAGGGATGAGTTCAGGGAGAGGAGTGGCCACCTTGGTGCAACCTGGTATCATGTCTTCAAATGGGTCTTTTTCTGTAACAGACACTGGAGGGGGGTCTTCTTTCACAGGCTCTGGTACAGCCTCCTCCTCCTCCTCCACCTTTGGTGCCACCGGCTCATCAACAGCGACAGCTGTCTTAACGCTGGTTTCGACTCTGTAAACCGCACAGATAATGAATGAAATGGAGGGAACAGGAGTCACTTGTTGCGCTGGAAATAGAAACATGCCAAAGGACTCACATTTTCCGCGGTTGGGGCTGAGGCGCAGAGGCAACAGATGTGACAGGGACGACGGGGGAGGAAGGGGGCGGAGTGCTGGCAGGTGCCGGAGTCGCAGCACTCTCATCATCATCGGTAATCTCCACCCTGCGTATTTGTAGCCAAGCACACGTGCACATGAATGCATGTGTGGGGTTTGGGTGTGCACACACGTAAGAACACAAAGACAGAGTAACGTTTGATTACATCCTTGGACTTTTTCTTTTGACTTCAGGGTATAGAAATATTAGAGGGAGCGTTTACCTTTTAGCCACAAATGATTGAATGTTGTTGACTGGTGAGGTGTCAAGTGCTTTTTCTTGAGACCTGAGGTTTTTCAAAACACAGATTTTGTAAATACCTCCATAAATGCTCTCCATCTATACTCACATGAGTGATTTTCACTTCTTTTATAAGTTAAGAATTCCAGATTGAGTGCCAAGCTTAACTTTAGGAGAGTGACATAAGACATACATACTCATATTTCTTAGCAGCAGAAAGTACATAAGACCGCTGCCTGACTGCAGATTTCTTCAGAACACTGCTGGCTGCCTCTGTCCTGTAAAATGAATCATTATGATGATAATCCAATCTCTATTCTGGGCATGTGAGTTCAAATTGGATTGTGTTTCTTTGCGCAAAGAGAGTCTTACCGTTTCTCCTGCTCCTCGTTGCTAAGCTGGCCCTCCTTGTTCTCCAAAGTGGACCTCACAGTGTAGGGAGCTCTAAGGAACAGAAGCGCAAACATACGCTGCATGAAAATAAATTCTCACTTAACTGCCAGCAGTTAACTGGGAACCTGATTTGTGTGAGCTCACATTTTCTTGTAGGTCTCTGAAGGTTTTTTTGTGAATTGTGTTGTTTTGCTGTGAAAAGAAAAAAAAAGCAGATAACATTAATGTAGGAACCAGAGAAGAGAAAGCACATTTCTAGTCACACGATTAACTCTGCTTATTATAGTAACAGAAGCTCTTACCTTAAGCCGTTAGATGTTGAGGTTGAAGCAGGCTTGTCTAGTTTAGTGAAAATGCCTCTGAAAGAAAAACAAAAAGTGTGAGTTGATACTACTACTTTCTCCGGTGTGACCACATAGTTGCCATTTTTCTGCGTATGTGCTTTTGATTCAGTTTTAAATTGGGTTTCTAAATGTGCTGGTCTTACCTGATCAGGAATCCTGATGTTGGTGCTCTAAATTCAAAACAGAGACTCGTTATCAGCACAATCATGTTTTTTTGGGAGATTTCCAAACAGTAGATAACTCTGTGACATTAGAAACCTGTTTACCTTTCAGTATCTGTCTTGATGGGTGGTGGAGTGGTTTCTGTCGGTGAGGGAGCTGGACTGGTCTCAATAGGGGCTCCATTCAAACGATTGGCCCTTACTTCTGCTACCCTGCATAGATGCAAACAAACCTGGTTTTACCTATTCAAGTGAGTAAGTACTGCATAATTTTGACAGGACCCTATTTAAACATGTTTGTTACCATGGTTTCTCCTCTTCGGTTTCAGCCTGAGGTTCATTGCGGGGCTGCATCCAGCTGCAGTCTCCCTTCAGCCTGGTCCGCACTATGGTGGTGCGGAACACAGCTGCTTTATCCCCCTCTGAGACACAAACATGTGTATGTCACACACACCATCTGAGATATTATACACACGCTAGGCCGCATCATAATGACATCTTAATCAGCATCTGCTTGATAGCATGCATGATATTCAGTCCCCTTTGGCCCTGACACACACCACATAGTCAACTGCTTGTATTTTTGCATCAAATCAGGACAATGACAGAAGATTGAAGAATTTACAGAGTCACCAGCCTGGCACAGAGACACCCCCTCTGCTCACATTCAGATCAGATAGGTCAGCCTGCTCACCTTTTGACATGCTTGTCCTATGGGTTTCGCTGTCTTCTTTGTTTTGTTTTCTTCACAGGCCACCTATAAAATATATTGGAACCGCATTAAGACAGAGAATTGTGCAATTTGGAGGAATTTCTTCCAACATAGTCAGTTTCAAAATGGTTGTTCCCACGCTATGTTCCCTCCCAATACGGAACATGTGCTGTGAAAAGAATTCCTCAGTCTCATCCTTTAGACATGTAGATGATCCTGTCCTACCACTTTCCAAAACAAAAAAAATACTGCTGTTGCTTAAATATGAATGGACACACACATACAGACACACACATACATAAAAAATAGACCTATATATATTATTTGTGTTTGGATACAAACATATAGGAGCACAGAATTATTATGTATGTGATTGGGCAAATATTGCTTCCTTTCACACATATCCAAATAAGTTGACCCCTCAGTTATTTATGGTCAAAAACAAACTGCTTAGAGGCAAACCCACTTCCCCGGGGAACTGAAGAAGAAAAGGAAAATACTAATGAAACACAGACGAGTGTTCCCTTATCTGAGAGTAGGAGCAGACTACAGCTTATGCAAAATTGCGGATGACTGCCAAATTCAGAATGCAAATATAACTTGTAGAACTCCTGGAGCTGTGAATCTACTTCTTCTATAGCACGTCGCCATTATATCTCTTGAGGATATTGGCCTCAATATTGGTGACGGAGCAAATACACTGAGGGTTCAGAAAGCATATTTATCTTAGGTTTAACACATCAGTCCACACAAGATAAATGATTGCTGAAGAGCTACAGTGTTCGGGGCGAGCAAGGAGCAGGACAGACAACTCTACTGACAAGCAATCATGACAGGGGAAACACCCAGACAAATGAGAGGGCAAACACTGACAATCACCAGTTAACGCTTTAAGCAGTTTATGTAGCATGACTGATTACTTTTAAATGCTTGTTTTTACAGTTGCTGACTACTGAAGCTCTAAATACTGAATAAATCCAGATCATTTGCTAAATCATTTTGAAATCAACACACCTGCCAGCCAGAGCATACCCTACCTGCTTTCACTTGATATCCAGCAGAGCAACGTCGTCCACGCAGCTCAGTCTGATAGTGTGTCCCTCTGAGTGTGGCTGCTGTGACCAGAGGGGAAGTCTCTCTCTCTGCCTGACAGGTGTTTCGGTCTCTGTACTGGAGAACAGGTACGGGCGTGAGCACTAACAAGCCCAGCTAGTCATGGAAGGTGGATTTGGGGTGGAGCTGTGTGTGTGTGTGCGTGCGTAATAGAGGTTGCTAAGAACTCTTTTTTTTTTTTGTTTACTACATCTGTGCTTTGTTCGTTGTAGTCGAGCAAGCACATACCTGTCGTACAGGTGGCTGACACTCAATTCTGAGAGAGAGCAGCACACATAAATGAAGCGACTCGCAGCAACATCTCCTGTGGGAACGCTGCTCTCATGCTCACTGGGTAGGAAAACCCAGGAAGCACAGACATCATTAAAATGAGATCAAGAACAACACACACAGCTGAACTGAGATAAACAGAAACAGTGGTCCACACATATAAAAAGCCAATCTTGACATAAAGAGAGGGAATATATTGAATTCTAATTTTAGATTTGAAATAAAAACAATTGCTTTTTCATGTTTTTATACATATAGTTACACAAAAAGTTGACTTAGTTTAACCCTTTGTAGTGCATAGTCTAGGTAAAGGCAGACAAAAGCCTATAATAAACAAAGTGTTTGCTCAATCGGAGTGACTGTCTGAGTGTCTATGTTTGTATAAGTGAAAGACAAGAAAATGACAACTCCATGCTCCTGCAATTGTCCCCACAATTTCTTCAACAAATTGCCACAAAAAGCACTTTCTGTGCGACTGGCCACAGTATGCACTCTTTGAAAACACAACATGGTTATCAGTCGACCACTGTTTCTATACAAAAGCTCTCTCACACATGCTGTGCATACATTTACAAAGCTTTTTCAAATCAGAAAAGGGTGTGAACAGATTTCGCAACATGTAAGAAGAGAGGGTGGAAGAGGAAATTAGCATGTCAGAGAGCCAAAGTTTCACTCTAGTGAGCACTTTGGCAAGTGTAAACGCTCAAGTCTATTATTTTCATGTATCCCTCTCCCTCTTTCCCCTATACAAGAAACCAGTCAGACGGGCTTGCCCGTTGGCGCTGACTCTCGCAGTGAATCATTAAGGTGCTGCTGCCAGAATTAAAAGTAGAATGCAAAGTATCTGAACTTAACCCTCACCTTGTTGTCACTACACCAAGACACGGAATGACAAAAATGCTGTGCCTAGAATGCCTAGAAAAGGCAGACCTCTGTAGCAGCTGATTGATATATTTATCATGAATACTGTGAACATTAGACACTGTAGTGTCTAAAAGTTCAAGTTTTTATGACTTTGTCATCATCGAAATGACAGATGGAATGAGGAAAAAGAAGGATTGTACCTTATGATGTATTCTCACTGCCCATCCCATTATTGTATTCACTGACAGTCCTTCA